GGGGGGGGGGGGGGCGTGCGTCAAGCTAAGGCTGCTGCTTGCAACAAGGGTGTGCCGGTTGTCCCCCGTGGTTTCTGAACTTGGGAAGTCGATGGCACCCCGCGACCCCACGAGGGAGGTCTTTCCTGACTATCTTTGAGGCCGACAACGGGGGTAGCCCTTATAAGGCAACATTGTTGACGTGTTGCATTTTTCTTGGCAGCGAGACACAAACGTCGGCGGTCGAGTTGTAAGTGGTAAACCGACTTCACGTGAGCGGCCCGAGCCTTTGTTCGCAACCAAGCCAAGCCGCAACCACGATCGCTAACCACAACCACCACCACCACCACCACCACCACCACCATCAACATCAACACCAAACACCAACGCCAACAACATGCATGAACAAAAAACCAATACCACCACCACCACCATCATCATAACAACATCAACATCAACACCAACGCCAACAACAACAACAACAACATGCATGAACAAAAAACCAATACCACCACCACCACCACCATCATAACAACATCAACATCAAACACCAACGCCAACAACAAACACCAACACCACCACCAACAACAGCACAATATGTACCAACCAAGTACCACCATCACCACCACAGAGCGGTATGCATATCACAACAACTATTCGCATCGCATACATTACCTGGTGGGCACGAGGAGGGTTCTCGTCTCCAAAGGCTTGGTCTGGAATCGCATGTTGTTCATGTCCTCCGACCTGTTCTGAATGCCCCATGCCTGCAAAACCACGCGTCAAAGAACGATCGATAACGAAACAAATCATCACGAAAAATATATGTTGACTGTAGTTCTGCTGCTGCTGTGTTACTATTTTTTCCCCACCACAACGGCGCCCCGACGCCTTCTGCGAACCCGCCTTGTTCCGATTTGGGACTTAGGACCTTGTCAGAGAGTCAACCATCGCCGTACTACAGCAGTAGGTGGCCCGATATAGTGGCAACTTGAAAAGTGGAACTGCCGATATAGTGGCATCAAAATCTCTTGTCACAATCTCAACATGTACATGAATCCAATATACTATCGAATAGTGGCACTGCCCTGAATAGTGCCATATTCTCCTCTTGCCCCTACATGCCACTATATCGGACCACCTACTGCACTGCACCTCGTTCGTATGGGCTCTCACGGGAGGATGAGCACATGTAATTGTGGTCTCCGGGAACTTCGACCCGTCTCTCACCACACCCAACACACCCCAACAAATATTACAGCAGCCATCAAAGAGAGAGGGGGAGACAGAGCGAGATAGAGGGAGTTGGCGACGATGCGAGCTTTTAAGGCTCGACAGTAACAACGGCAGCAACGAATAGAAGCAACAGGCAGCGCCAGCACTAACAGAAACGCTTCTGCTATCGCGTGCTCACCTGCCATCTCGTGTCGAACCACCTGTCCTCCAAGTCGATCACGGTCCTCCCGATGAGCTCATCCCGCCCGATGTCGTCGTAGTCCATGACGTCGATCTGGACAGCAGCAAACAACAGCACCCAACACAACAGCAACAGTGCCAATGCCGTGTTACAATCGAATGGGGTGGAGGGGGGGAGGAAATGTCGTGGTGTGCTTTACTACCACATGCGAAGAAAAACGCAACGCAAATAGCCAAACGGGGTCCTCGTCGATAGTGGGGGCGGACTCCATGAACAAACAAAAATATTGCGAGGTAGGTAGGTCCATATCCCCTGCGAATTGTGGAGGGGGTCCCGTGCACTGACGTGGGGCCGCCCTCACGGCGGAGCCACTCGCAGCACACTCTTCCCGAAAAAAAAAAAAGAAGAGCACACTCTCACGATGCGGAGCAGACAACGCGCGTGTTTACATGCACACAGCAGCTTCAAACTCTCAACAAAGCGCATATCGGACCAACGTTTACTTGCGTCTATCCCATCTATCCTGTCCTGTTGCTTACCCCCCCCCCCCAGGAGGCCAATTCAATACCGCCCAGGCTCGAGGTTGATCCGATTCAGGAGGCTCACCTCTCCTAAAAAAATGACATTACCCCGATATAATTACCCCGTGACTATTAATAGTACCCCGAGAACAAACCAACACCTTGGAAATCAGCTTCAGCGGGGTGCGGCTAAGAAGGAGAGACACACATACACCCCTAGATATCTGAGCACAGCGGTTGGGAGGTGAAGACAGACCGGACAGACGTTCAGGCCCTACCTCCAGCTGGCTGGCTCCCGGGAGAGTTCCGTTGATCTCGACGCACTTATAGAAGTCGGCATCCGTCACGTCGTCGATGTAGTTCTTCTTGTCGTCGAAACTCTGTGTTTTTGTCGTAATTGTTGGCGGTTTGTTTGTTTTTTTCGCGCGTGTGCACAACGCGAGTGGAGCGGGCGGGCGGGGCAGGCCAAAAAGATAGTTGGTGTTGGCGTCGTGGGTAGTGCGTGACTTCAGCGGGGATAGATAACAAACCGCCCCATCCGTCCGTTGCATCTAAGTATTTACACGCAATGCCTCGGGCAGGTGCATGCAAAGAGGTGCCTGAGGTCCCGGCGTGTCGCGTTCAGCGTGGAGCTGGCCACCACTTTTGAGCTGCAAAAAAATCTGAACGAAGTACGCATGTCACGCCTAACACCAACCTTAACCCATATTTTTTACGCAATGTAGGATACCCCGAACGAACCAAACTTACGTTGCCACCCGTGATCAAGGTGTAGAAAACCAATAACGTAAAGGCCGCGGAGAAAAAAATAGCACCAAGTACCGTCTCAGCGCGCGCGCGCGGGGGGGGCGGGGGGCGGGGTACACGCCTCTTGTGCAAAACACCGAACGAGTGGAGTGACTACACAAGAGGCTGTCGGTGGTTCAAGCCTTGCATCACCGTAAACACCAGCCATTGAGTACGAAAAAGAGCAATGCATTTGTGCTGTCTCCTTTCTTTGTCGCCTCTACTTCTTGACTATTCTACACAAGCTTTCGTAATTGATCTCTCTCACCTCCTTGCCCAGCTTGACCTTGAGGTAAGGGTCAGACTTGCCAGGCCTGCCGCCGATGCCGATGTCCATCGGGGTCAGGTTCAGGGCTTGCAGGATGTACAGCCTCACCTTGTACCCCTTCGGCTGTTCAAAAAAAAAAAGACGACGACAACAACAACAACAACCACAATGAGATGACCACTGGCAAACGACACGTGGTTGTCTCTCGTGCGTGTGCGCGTAGGCATGCGGTGTGGTGCGAGGAAAGTAGAGGCAGCGACAGCGTCATGGCCAGCGTGTGCGGGACACGTTCTTCAAACGTGCGCGACATGTGCTGCAGAAGCCGTGGTCTCCTCTCCTCCACCTATTCACCATCTCTAGGCCTGCGTTTGCTAGTCATCCAACACAACAACAAGTCAGTGCCAACAACAGCACCAACGAACAGAAGAGAACCACAAACAAACGATACCGTCACCGTTACCGTTACCGTTACCGCTACCGCCACCGTTACCGTCACCGTTACCGTCACCGTTACCGTTACCGTCACCGCTACCGTTACCGTTACCGTCACCGCTACCGTTACCGTTACCTTGAGGAGCTCCGCGAGGATGATGTCGTTCCTGGCCTTGGCCTTGGCAAGAGTCGGGAAGCTCTTCTTGTCCACGAACAGCGGCTCGTCGTCGGGGTCTCCCTCGGTAACCCTCACGATGCACTTCAGCTTGCCCACCTATTTGGGGGGAGGGGAATGCGTGTACGAATACAGAGAGCGAGGGACAGCAGCAGATTTTAATAGCTACAAAATACATGCGTGCGTGTGTTTGTTTAGGGGAGGGCATGTGTGCGAGGTGCGTATAATGTGCGTACCGGGCAAAAAAAACATAACAAGTGGTAAGACGTCAGGGACAGACAGCGCAATCGACTCGCGCGCGTAATCGCCACCAGCCTTCCACGATATGGCTGTGCACTCGTGAGCCGTTAAATTGTGCGCGACGGCACGTAGGCGGGAAAGGAGGCAAAACAAAGCAGGGTTAAAAAGTAGGAGGGACGAAGGTCGGCAGCGGAAAAGAAAAGGTCGCTCAAAACCGTAGCAGCTCAGACACACTTGGTACAGCCTGAGAGCCAGCCGGCTCTACAAGATAGCAATCACGTTGAATATACCACGGAATGGCTCGGCAACGCAACAACTCCCTCGGATGACTCAACTCGGGAAAACACGAACGACTCGGGACCGAGAGAAGGTAATGGAGGTAAAAAAACTGCTCTATCGGGGCCTCCTGGCCGAGCTTCGCATGAGTTCGATGCCGTCGTAGCCATAGCTTGCTCGACGCCAAACCCTCCAATAGTCAACGAATGCCCTCTCGGGACAATGTTTGGCTCATGTCTAACGAAAGGGCAAACAGACTCTTTCGCTCGATCACACTCCAGCCAATCAACCTGCTGCAGCTGCTGCTGCTGCTGCTGCTGACGACGCCTAGCCAACACCCATGAGCGGATTTGTGTTGTTGGTGGCCGCTTCTAGATAATACCTTCTTGAGGGTGCTGCCGCCGATTCCGCCGCCAAGCAGCTTCCCACGGAAGAGATCGTACGATTCGAACGGCGTGGCCATCAGCTCCTCCTCTGATTTAATTTAGAGCAGAAAAGAAAAAAGACATACAGGACGGGAAAAAAAAAAAGAAGCTCATTGGGGTGGGAAGAGCATTGTCCCGGGCACAGAGGGGGCGACGCAGAGCGGTGTAGAGTACTGCCGCGGTACCTCGCTCTATTGCGGTGAAGCAGCGGACGGCGCAACCTCTTGTTGCTCTCTCCACACACAGATCCAAAACCCAAACCTCCCCCCACCTAGCGACTGCTCCAGCTCTTCGCGGCCCTTGAGGTATTCGGGGACCTGAGAAAGCTCGTCGTCCTCCTCGTCCCACCCGGTCGTCTCTTCCAGCCCCAGCGCTCCCGCCATGCTGCCCCCTCCCGTGACGCTGCTCCCTCCCCCGCCGCCGAAGCCCCCTGCGTCCCCCAGCGCCCCGCCAGCCCCGCCGCCCACCGGCGTCAAGACCTGGCTGCCTGGGATGGATCCAGCGCCGAAGCCGGCCTTCTGTCGCGCGAGCTCGAGAGCGGGCATGACGCCGATGCCGGTGTCGATGACCTTCCCGCTGGCGTTGAGCTGCGGCGAGTTGTCGATGGTGCCGCTCTTGTTCCAGCTCGACTGATGCATCACGCCCAGGGCGCCGCCGCCGCCGCCGCCGAAGTCGCTGCGGGACCGCGACCGGCTGCTGCGGGCGTGCTGGTGGCCCCCGCCGCCCGCCGGGCCGCCGAAGGCCCTCGTGCTGGTGCGACCGCCGCTACCGGCCTGGTTTGTACGAGTGCTTCCCCCGATAAGGGAGGAGCCGAACCCTGACTTGCCGCCGCCGAACCCGGACTTCGCGCCGCCGCCGGCCCCATAGACGGAGGCCTCTCCCTCGAAGTCGGAAATCTCGGCGTCGCTCCCGTAGTCGCCGGAGCTGCCCCATTGCAGGCCGCCGCGACGGTGGGAGGCGGAGCCGCCGCCGAGACCGCCGCCGCCGTCGCTGCCGTGTGCCGACGGGTCGTTGTTGTCGTTGCCGCCGGAGGTGGAATCGTTTCTGCGCGCGCGATGAAGGAGGGTGGAGGTGGAGAGCGAGGTGTGCGTTTGGAGATACTCCTGGAGTGATTGTGGGGGATGGGGGCAAGCGGGCACACAGCAGCGTAGAAGCTGGACTGCGCTTTTGGTTGGTAGATGACTCGTGTCAACGATGCCACAAATCGATCAAACCGCTGTGAATCCCCCACGCTTTGCCTACATACTAAAACAAAACGCTTCGAAGCAACAAAGGCATGAGACTACAAACTAAGAAGAACGCATTCACCGACTCACCCGTCCGCCGTGATGGCCCGCAGCAGGGCGTCCTTCGCGAAGGTCTTGGCCAGGGGCGCCTCGTACTCCGGGCTCCACGGCAGCTTCTTCCCGAGCTCAATCCGACCGGTCCCCACGAGGGGCACGTTGAACCCTCCAAGCCGAGTGTCGTATACCCTTAGGAAGTAGTGTGGAACACAGGGGGGGGGGGGGGGGACCCAAAATCCACATCATGATTGTCTGCCGGCGGGGGGGGGGGGGGGGGTTAAACCAACCTGGGGGTTTCCCCCATTGGACCCAAATTTTATTTTGGGGGGGTTTCCCCCCCCCCCTTTCCCCAAAAAGGGAAGGGTTTCCCCCCCTTTTCCAAAAAATAAAAATTTTTTTTTCCCAATTCCGGGGAGGGGGGGGGGGGGGGGGGGGGGGGTTCT